AAAGGATCTTTTAGGTAATAAAATTATCTTTAAGGTTAATTTAGGTTAATTTATTATAATAAAGTAAAATAATTATATCCTTTAGGAATTAGTAACTAAGTATATAAATCTTTTTTAAGATAAGGTTATATTTAAGAAAACTCTTTAAAATATAGTATATTTATATATAAATCTTTAAGGTTAACTTATTCTATAATATAAGGAGTTTTATACTAAAGTAAAAGACTATCTCTTCTAATAGTCCTTAACTATCTATAGTTATTATAACCACTAATTAATATTAGTTTTATTAGGGAATGTATATATATATTACGTTATAGGTTAGTTAGTGTTCTTAATTATAGTTATTATTATTAGGTAGGCCTTAGCCTGTAGCTGTTAATCTAGGTATAAAAGTGGGTTAAACATTAATTTAGGCTAATAAGAGGGCTGCATTCGTTAAGGCAGCTGGTGGCTACAACAATACGTGTTTGCGAATGGAGCATCAATTTCCTTAGCGACGTTCTTTCGTTCCGGAATTACAAGCCTGATGTTTATCTTGCATTCAGCGAGCAGACTGCGATGGAGCTCATTCTTCAACAGGAGCGAAACAAAAAGCACGTGGCATATATTCCACAGCAATGGATCAACAATTACAGAGCAGATACTGCTGAGAACTTTATGAATCGCCAAGATGCAAATGATATGGGCTATTGGGTTGCTAGACGCGGCGACTTTATAGTGCACTTTGCGGGATCTGGCAATAAGAAGGGAGATATTTTAGAATACTCGGGTGTAGGGGAGGAGGTATTTGATCGCATTCAAGCAGGCAATGTCTTGCGCAATGTAAGCGTGGACAATGAGCATTTTTGGAGAGAGTATACGCAGAAAGAAAATTGAATGTCTGGATCCTGCTTTGTCCGTGTAAGAATAGTTAGAGATAGTAATACTACTACAAGGGTGGGTCCCTCGGAGCTTGTTTACAGCGCACCTTGCTGCTGCGTGGATGTGGTGTCTTGACAATTGGTCTAAAGCCTACAATAGGGCGCCAACAGACGTAACTAATCAAATCAAATCAAATCCTGAGGCCCGCCAGCAGAGGCGTCGCCCTTGCCCATAAAGGCTTGATGTACGCACCGGTACTGGAGATGGGGTTTGAGGCCGACGCAGAGGGCTGGCTAGACGCAGCGGACGAGGTTCCCGGGACAGCCAGGGTGGCGGGAGGAGCGGCCTGAGAGGAGGTTGGAGGAGCAGCCTGGGAGGTAGATGGAGTAGCCTGAGGAGCTAACGGAGCAGGAACGGAAGTGTTTTAAGGGGGCTTGGAATCACCGGTTCCGAGGGCAACAATAGTGCAATCGCTGCCAAAGCAAAGGCACTTTATGCCCTCGGACACGTCTATAAAGATGGCCTTACTACTAAAGTTACAAATATCAAACTTACCCTCGCCCTAGCAGACTAAGTGGCTAGGCTAGTAGTTAGGAATAGAGACACTCTAGAGGTGATAGGCCGTAATGCCGTAGATAAGGCTAAAGAGAGCCACTAAGGTAAACGTCTTCATATTGATAGGTTAGTGTATATAGTAGGAGTTAAGAAAAAAAAGGAAGGTGAAAGCTACGCTGCGGTAAAGAGAGAAACTTAACAGTTTTCGTCTAGTGACTTAGGGTCACGTAAAAGGATAGTATGTGTTGACTGATGATATAGAGTGTGTGAAACTCAAAAAGTAAGCTCAAGATCGAAGAGAGAGGCGACCTACACAAGCAAAGAACGAAGTTATGTAAATTTAAGGAGTGAATGAAGGATGTCAAGACCGGGCACCAGTACCGTCTTTGCAAGAAAGGAGTGAATGGTTTTATTCCGAAGCGGATAAAGAGAAGGAGAGACAAGAAGTTACACATATAGTTCAGGGAGCCGCAGCAAGATAAATGCCCAGGCAAAAGGGGACAGGCCAGGGCGAAAATGGAATGCTGGCGATGGCAAGAGAGGGGGCGGTCAGAAAACCATTAACGCCTCAGCTAAATTTGTTACAGTCCGGAGAATATCGTGGAATTAGAAGGCGTTGCGGGTCTATCTGATGATGGGCGATGGACACATCTGCTTTGACAACGATAAGCTGCGGGGGGGACATTGTGAGTGCATTTGAGCGCGCGAATACGAGGTGGAGGTCCATCAACTTCTGCCGACAGGAGGAGATTGAGCTTGTAGAGGAGACTTGATACGCGAGGAACCCTCCGAGCTCTTGCCGATTCGCACACGGTAGGGGAACTAGCGGTGGTCTGCACCGGAGGAGAGACCTACTTTCCGCGGCTGCAGGGAGTCGGTCCGAGCTCCGACGGCACCAAGTTTTCCATGGCTGAAAATGGCCAAGGTTTGCTATTCAAGCCCAAAAGAGAAATGCTGTCCTGTGGAAAAATATGCACATGAATGGTACGGGTGATGGCAGGGTGCTTCATGCTAGTCTGCCTGTGAAGTCTGGAAGGAAGATTGGTATGAATCTGTTCAGCTTATATTATATCGATTCACCAATCATTGGGGAAAGGGTATAATGTAGCCAACTTTACGCAGATACTTGGATATCTAATTCACTTACCACAAATTTCCTATTGCGATCACCAGCCATTCATGTGATCCCAATGAGGCAGTTGCAAAAGTCCCTCCATCCAGCCTCGCGGCACAGTGCTCACTTTACGTGCACTGTGTCTTCACACTTATAAAGGAGGCTCGCTGCCCTTCCCTTCGCTCAAATACTTCTACTATATCATAAACCTGGGCCATTTGGTAGTGACCGCTTTATAATGTGTCAGGATGAATTCAAAATTGCAGCAGTATGCCCGCAGCCTTTACCTCGCATCTACTCCGCAGATGAGATTGTTCCGGTCATCGAAAGGATCATTATCCAAATGAATGCGACACGAGATCATATCCTGCGGAATGTGACAAAAGATGATGCTTCTTTTGATACAGTCATGCGTCCTTTGGTAGATGTCGAGCAGGAAAACAATAGCGACATTGGGGTCATCTGGATGCTTCAGTATGGCGCCCCTGACAAGGAAACACACGACGCCTTCTCCAAGGCGCGCCAACTGCTCATTTCTGCAGAGGCATCTTGGAACGCTAGCGAAGAAATGTATACAATTCTTGGAGCTGCGCGCGACAACGAAAAAGACCTGGACACTGCGTCCAAGCTGCTCTTGGACAAGACGCTGTTGGAGTACAAGCTGTCCGGCTGTGGCACCATCAGCAAGCAAGACAAGGAAGCATTTGCAAAAGACACTATAGATTTGGAAAATCTACTGGCTGAGGCGCGAAGCAATATAGCACAAGAGAGCGGGGGCATATGGCTTGCAGACGAGGACCTGCAAGATCTGCCCGCCGAAGAGCTTGATCGGATCAAAAAGCACAAGCAGCCCATGGAGACGCCGCCACAAGAGGGCATGACATTCGTTCCGTTCTCTAACGGCGGCACAGTTGCCGTACTGACATTTGCTCGCAATCCAGACGTGCGCAAAAAAATGTACCTCGCGGACCAGAAGAAGCTGCTGAGAAACATTCCGCTGTTGCGGGACATTGTTAAAAGGCGCCAGAACTTGGCCCAACGACTTGGTTATAACACGCATGCAGAGCGTCGAATGGAAACGCGTTTGTTAAAAGGGCCAGATCAGGTCAAGGAGCTTTTGGATAGCTTATCGAGCGGCCTAGTGAGCAGAGGGCGGCGTGAAATGGACATGCTTCAAAAGATGCGGCTCAAAGACCTGCAGAAGCTGGGGCGCGGCGGAGACTCGACTCTGCAATCCAGCTTTCCGCCCTGGGATCTCAAGTACTACCAGCGCCTTGTCAGTAGTAGTCGCAAGGTGGACGAGTCCGCAGTGTCGGAGTATTTCCCGTTGGAATACGTGATTCCGCAGATGCTGCAGATCTTTGAGGACGCATTGGGTCTGCGCTTCGATTGTATCCCAAAAACTGAGCTGATAGATGCAAAGATATGGCATAATACGGTGACTGTGTTTTCTGTCTGGGATACTCGACAGGACGAGCCGGCTTTTATGGGATATCTTTATTTTGATCTACTGTGGCGGGAGAATAAGTTTCGTGGAGCTCATAATGTCACGATGGAATTTGTAAGAGCAACTGACAATCAAGTTCCTTGCTGGAATGAATACTGACTTTGGTGGATAGGGATTTGAAAAGTCGAATGGTGGCAGAAAATACCCGTCCACCATTGTCATGAGTGCTTTTCCAACCGTCGGCGACGAGGGCTGCGTTCTATTGAAGCATCATCAACTCATAACCATTTTTCACGGTAAGTATATAAAATCTGTGTATGTTTCATTCTTTGCAGAGCTAAGCCATCTAATCAACGCTTAGAGCTCGGCCATGCCATCCATAACTTGGTGTCACGGACCAAGTATTTAAAGTTTCACGGAACCAGTCTCCCACCCGACTTTGTGGAAATACCCAGCCTAATGTTGGAGAATTGGTGCTGGATACCTCAGATTCTCGTGTCAATGAGCACGCATTACAGCCATTTGCGGCCGGAATATCGCGAAAAGTGGCAGCGCGTGCACCCTGGCGAGGAACAGCCACCCAAGCAACTCCCCGACGAGATTGCGCATGCGCTTGTAAAGTATCGATATTCAGGACGCGGACTGTATCACTTATTCCAGCTGTATGTCACCACGCCCCGTGGGTGACGATTGGCCACCGTTGACAAATTCACTATTAGGAGTATATCGCTGTTCGATCTTGCTATACACAGCGCCGGGAGCGCAGAAGAAGCTGAGAGCATGAATGTCCAGAAAGTTTGGTACGATATCCGCGAAAGAACCGAAGGTTTTGACTTTGCAGAAGTCAGAGAAACTGGTTCTGATCTTGTTGCATTTGCCCATTTACTTGGAGGCTACGACATGGCATACTACTCCTACCTTTGGTATGTTTTTTTTTTCGGCATGTCAATCTAAGCGACTTGCATGCTAACAAAGCGGAATAATAAAATCAGCTGCTCGTCGTTTGCGCAAGACTTATTCCAGAGTCTCTTTGCGGTAGACCCTACAAACACTAACGCCTGGGAACGCTATCGCCAGATGGTTCTGCAGCCAGGAGCCGAGCACCCTGACCTGTTGAAGCTGCTGGGGAAAGTACTGGGTCATGCACCCAACGCAACTGCTTTGATTAACGTGCTGGAGAATGCTGATTTGTAAATAAATGGCAGAGGGGAGCACAGGGCCTATCTACTCAGCTAGGACAAGTCGACATTTATTTACACTATCAGAGTATTTAGTGAGTTGAGTATGATGTTTAATTTTTACTTTTTTTTTTTACCGCTTTTCGAGAGGTAGTTATTAGCACAACTTTTCAAGGGTTGCTAATGGTCGACCAGTCGACTGGCGATGTTTTCCCCCCAGGGGGCTCGCCAGCAAAAGCGTCTAATGTGAGCTTTGTCTGCTGTAAAAGGCACTAGTTATAACTTGGGCAGTCGGCTAGTTCAAGCCAAAGTTCATCCAACGCTGATGACTCACAGACACTGTATAATGACGGATTGACAAAACAGGAAGTTGTTCAAAAGGGTTGCCACGATGACGACATCTATGTGAGACAACAGCCTCGCACTTTTTTACATTATAATACTACTGAGCGTTTAAAAAGGCAACTGCCAACTGATGCGCGCAATTCAATGTCCACTATTACGCAAGCCGTGGTGGGCCAGCTTGAAGCGAGTAAAAAGGGCAACGGTAGTAGGCCGATGAGTGCTGGATGATCTGCGATTAAATACGGGCAACTAATTTTACAAAACGAGATATATATCTTCAAGTTACGAGGCCCGATAAAGCTAAAGTGGCTCTTGGTTTCTATGACGGTAGCAATGGCATGGACGCGTTGGCGGCATGACTAACCAAACACGACTACTGCAGACTGGAATTATACCATTTGCCAATGAGCTGCCCTCCTGTCAAGCACACCTGCCCCTTCAAGTTAGATGGAGTTTGGGCCCAAGGTTACAACGCCTCAACACCAGTTCAAGTAATGAGTGATTTGTTCGGCTCACAGCAGTGCTGCTTCGGAAGCAACATGCCGCGAAACAGGGAAGCGAAAGCCGAATGCGTAAAGGAAAAAAAAAAAAACAAATATAAAATGCATCTGCGCCGACAGCCTAGAGGAGTCTTGGCCACCCTCGACAATCACATCTACGACACTACATAGAGATGCGTTGTGCGACATTTATTGCAGTAGCAGTGGCGGCCCTCTCAGGAGGAGTTGCTGCCGACAGAGCTGCCGATTTTCAGAAGCATGTATCGAAATGGCTTCCTCAGAACGCAGGCAGTGGCCACGACATCTCTACAAAGAGAGAAGTACAGACGCGAAATGGCACCAAGCCTCGTTTCCTCAACAGCAAGACCAAAAAGTTTGCTGTGGATGGTGCAAACCTGCCCGAGATTAATTTCGACGTGGGTGAATCCTATGCGGGGAGCTTGCCCATTACCGGCAAAAAGGGAGAAAAGGACAATCTCTTCTTTTGGTTCTTCCCTTCGGAAGATGGCCACATTACCGATGAAATTACAGTCTGGCTGAATGGCGGCCCAGGTTGTTCGTCGCTGTCGGGCTTCCTGACGGAAAACGGGCCAGTTTTGTGGCAGGATGGCACGCTCGCCCCAGTCAAGAACCCGTACTCATGGCACAAGCTCACCAACATTATCTGGATCGAACAGCCTGTGGGCACGGGCTTCTCTTTGGGCGCGCCGAGCGCCCGGGATGAGATTGAGCTGGCTACGCAATTCCGCGGGTTCTGGAAGAACTTTATCGACACCTTTGACCAGCTCAAGGGCGCCAAGACGTATCTGACGGGCGAGTCGTACGCGGGCGCCTATGTCCCTTATATTGCAAACAGTTTTCTGCTGCAAAACGACACCAAGTACTTTAATCTCAAGGGCATCTCCATCAACGATCCGGTGATTGGCGACGACAATCTCCAGTTTTCCATCACGCAAGTGCCGTACAATACGTACTGGGCCAATCTGCTTCATCACAGCGATGAAACCATTTCCAAGATTAACCAGCTCTATGAATCGAGCGGCCAGGCAAACTACACGAGAAAGTGGTTCACTTTTCCCCCGCCCCAGGAACCGTTCCCCAAGGTCCCCGACGAAGACCAGCACGTGTCGGACATTATTCAAAATTCTTTAACGTCGAACAATCCCTGCTACAATGTTTACCACATTTCGGACCAGTGCCCGACAGTCTATGGCCATCTCGGTGGCGTCAACGTCGGCGACTACGTCCCTCCCGGTGCCGAAGTATACTTTCAGCGCGCAGACGTGCAAAAGGCCATCCACGCTCCGCCCATCGGCACCAAATGGCAGCAATGCGGAGGAAACAATGGCAGTGTATTCCCGCATGGGGACGCTTCTCCCGGAGCAGCCATCGACGGTACCCTCAAAAACATTATCGAGCACACAAACAACACGATTGTAGGATCTGGTGCTCTCGACGCTTTGCTCCAGACAAACGGCACCCTCTTTGCACTGCAAAACGTGACTTGGCATGGAAAGCAAGGCTTTAGTTCTTTCCCCAAGACGCCATTCTTCGTGCCGGACCACCAAGACAAGAACCAGGGTGCCCTGGGCCCCAAGGGTAATATTGGCGTCTATGTAAAGGAGCGCGGACTGACATTTTATGATGTGCAGCTTGCCGGTCATGAAGTCCCGGGTTATTCGCTGTCTGGTGGTTACAGGATGCTCCAGCAGCTTCTGGGACGCATTGACGACTTGAGCAGCAAGAAGCCATTGTTTTGAAGGCTGGAAGACGATAGCCAAAGCACAACCTGACGAGCATAGTCGGACTATTGTTATTTAGTTACATACTTACTATACAGACGGCAAATACAGTCGCCAGACACAGCAAAGATTTTCATCACCATGTCCCCAACGAAACGTGTGTGCATGACCAAGTTCCGGAGATGTTGCTACTAAAAATACTTAGGAAATCAGAGATTGCAATGTTGTCACTGGAGCCACTAGTAAACGTCAAAAATTAACAGCCGCCCGTCCTGAGACAGGATTCCACGTGCGCACTGCGTTGCCCGCTTGCCCATGCAGAGCCATGATGTTGAGCCTGTGTGGCCCTGTTGCCACTTTGGCCCACACAAACTCAACCAATACAACATACATTTGATCCATCACACAAGGTCCAAACACCAACACAGCTCAGGCCTTTAAAAATGTCGGTCTATTCCTGCATTTGGCACTAAATAATTTCAAATACCTTTACTCAGTACGCAAAATAGACAGACCCGCTACAGTGTCTCTGGCATTTCAAGAGAGCGACATCAGATCAACTTGCAAGAATGTCGCGACCATATCCGCACCTTATGTCGAATTGTATATAGTTAGCCGGCCGACGGAGCTCTTGTCTCACAAGTATAAATCTGTATGTAGAAATATTGTAACCGCGACAGTGATCTCAGCGCTCGTCGTTGCTGTCGTGGCCAAGATGGATTTAGTAGGGCTATCCTCGAACCAGAACCGTTGACACACAGACTTTGCCCGTCGCCACCACCAAGCGACCGTGCTCACCAAAATTCCCAGGACGCAGAGCCGCATTTAAATTACCTCACGGACCATGCCATCCATGCTTTTTTTTTCTTAGCATGGGTAAAGTTGGTGAATAGTTACTTGCCGATCCTTCTCATCGCGGGGGGCTTTGTTACTGAGTAGCTCCTTGTTGCCCTATCTGGACGGAGCATCTCGACCTGATATCAACCCTATCAAGCCACCGATTGTCCAAGCGTCATGGGGGAGGGACATCACAGACAATGTTGAGCCCTAAGAGGTCCCGTCACCTGAGAATGGCAAAGCTCAGGTGAGATTCATTTCCGTGATTAGAGAGAATCAAAGGCATACTGATATACTGCTCTTGGCCTTCTATAAAGCAAACATGTCCCCTCGAGAGAAACTGGTTACCGACTGATAGTGACCATCCGCTCTTTACACTCCAACTTCACCTACACTCTTTTTTTTATTCTAAAGTTCATTGATAATTCTTAATTTTATTCTACCTCTACTCCCCAAACTCAATCTCGTCAAGTCTCGAAGCTACCGCCACAATGCAGCCCGCTACTGTTTTTGCCCTCTGCACCGTCGCCATGGCGGCGCCTATGCCAAACCCTCAGCGTGTAAGCACTACCTACGTACTCTGTTTCTATAACACCACAACCGCTAATAATCTGGCCAGCTTGTTCCATTGATTGACATCAATGCCAACAACAATAAGCTCGATTTTCCCATCAACGTTCTTGGACTCCAGACCCACGATGTCTCTGCCGCAAACGGCAACCTGTCTCCCGGCCAGGCCTCCGCCCCCGGCCAGGCCTCCGCCCCCG